GGGGCAACAATGTTTTAAATGATTGTTAACTTCACTGAGTAGTACTGAAAATGTCAAGATTGTAGTCTATCAGGTCTGAAGGAGACTCAAGATTATACCAGAATCTACTTATAAGAAGTCTATTTCTTTGTCCTGTTTGCCAAGTCAAAGGTTAATGAGAAGTACACTGAAGAAAACACCTTCTGTGTTACTGCAAAGTTATTTCTCATGCAACATAAAAAGTAAATGAAAAAGTATTTTAATCTAGTTCTTCACTACCTTCCTTTAAAAAACAGCTTTATTTATGTATAATTTACATGCCATAAAATTTACTCTTTTTTGTGTGTATTCAATTCAATGATTTTTAGCAAATTTACAGAGTTGTGTAACCATCACCACAATCTAATTTTAGAACATTTCCACCATCCCAAACTATTAACTTTTTTTTTTGCTTGCTCTTATTTTTTTAACATCTTTATTGGAATATAATTGCTTTACAATGTTGTGTTAGTTTCTGCTGTATAACAAAGTGAATCAGCTGTATGTATACCTATATCCCCATATCCCCTCCCTCTTGTGTCTCCCTCTCACCCTCCCTATCCCACCCCTCTAGGTGGTCACAGAGCACCGAGCTGATCTCCTTGGGCTATGGTTGCTTCCCACTAGCTATCTACTTTACATTTGGTAGTGTATATATGTCCATGCCACTCTTTCACTTCGTCCCAGCTTACCCTTCCCCCCCACCCCCGTGTCCTCAAGTCTATTCTCTACATCTGCATCTTTATTCCTATCCTGCCCCTAGGTTCTTCAGAACCTTTTTTTTAAAAATTAGATTGCATATATATGTGTTAGCATACGGTATTTGTTTTTCTCTTTCTGACTTACTTCACTCTGTATGACAGACTCTAGGTCCAGCCACCTCATTACAAATAGCTCAATTCGTTTCTTTTCATGGCTGAGTAATAGTCCATTGTATATATGTGCCACATCTTCTTTATCCATTCATCCGATGATGGACACTTAGGTTGTTTCCATCTCCTGGCTACTGTAAATAGAGCTGCAATGAACATTTTGGTACATGACTCTTTTTGAATTATGGTTTTCTCAGGGTATATGCCCAGTAGTGGGATTGCTGGGTCATATGGTAGTTCTAGTTTTAGTCTTTCAAGGAACCTGCATACTGTTCTCCACAGTGGCTGTATCAAGTTACATTCCACCAACAGTGCAAGAGGGTTCCCTTTTCTCCACACCCTCTCCAGCATTCACTGCTTGCAGACTTTTTGATGATGGCAATTCTGACCGGTGTGAGGTGACACCTCATTGTAGTTTTGATATGCATTTCTCTAATGATTAGTGATGTTGAGCATCCTTTCATGTGTCTGTTGGCAATCTGTACATCCTCTTTGGAGAAATGTCTATTTAGGTCTTCTGCCCATTTTTGGATTAGGTTGTTTTTTTGATATTGAGCTGCTTGTATATTTTGGAGATTAATCCTTCGTCAGTTGCTTCGTTTGCAAATATTTTCTTCCATTCTGAGGGCTGTCTTTTCGTCTTGTTTATGGTTTCCTTTGCTGTGCAAAAGCTTTTAAGTTTCATTAGGTCCCATCTGTTTATTTTTGTTTTTGTTTCCATTTCTCTAGGAGGTGGGTCAAAAAGGATTTTGCTATGATTTATGTCAGAGTGTTCTGCCTATGTTTTCCTCTAAGAGTTTTATAGTGTCTGGCCTTACATTTAGGTCTTTAATCCATTTTGAGTTTATTTTTGTGTATGGTGTTAGGGAATGTTCTAATTTCATTCTTTTACATGTAGCTGTCCAGTTTTCCCAGCACCACTTATAGTAACTTCTTGATCTAAGATATTTCTATCAATTCATGGAAGCCACTGGTATCTAAAGCTACTATATATTCAAAGCCACACAAATTTCTGCAACTGAGCAGGAAAAGTACAAACTAACCTCACTTTTAATGACCTTTATAACCAATCCTCTATGCTGGCACTGGGAAGAAAATGTTCAGGTGCTTTCTCTGAAAGTTAAACCATCCTAAATATTCAGTTATGGCACATAGTCTTGGAAAGAAATTAATTATATTTTTGTTGGTAACACATTTCAGGCTGTTTACACAGCTGACATTTCTCAGCTGTACCCAATTCATACCCTAAGCTGTGAGGACGATCTTATTTTGTAGCAGATGCCTCCACTTGAGTGATTTAAATAAGTAGAAAAACACCATCATTGCCTGCAACAATACAGATTACAAGCACCAGCTTTATGAGTTTTTATAGTCCTAATGAAAGAAAGGTTTCATGACATTTCTTTGGCTAGAAACTCCTTAAAAGACTACAGTTTTAAGCAATTTTTGCCAAAACTCAAGCACTGGAGTTAGTGGATCTGCTATGGCACCGATTAAAAGCAGCTTGGCCCTAAACATCTTTGTTGTATCAATCATGTAGCTCAAGGCAACATCCTGCCAATGTGGCAACATATGCTCTGGGGAGGTATAGGCAGGCATCATTTTTTTTTTTTTTTTTTGCGGTACGCGGGCCTCTCACTGTTGTGGCCTCTCCCGTTGCAGAGCACAGGCTCTGGACGCGCAGGCTCTGGCCATGGCTCACAGGCCTAGCCGCTCCGCGGCATGTGGGACCCTCCTGGACCGGGGCACGAACCCGCGTCCCCTGCATCGGCAGGCGGACTCTCAACCACTGCGCCACCAGGGAAGCCCGGCAGGCATCACTTGACAGGTTCTGGGACAAGGTGGAAATATGAAAAATAAGGCAGTGAGAATCAAGCTTCTTAATGGAGATTCCCTCTTGTGTCTGCTATGACTTATAGTACCAGGTAGCATCACAGACTTCCATATGGTAAGTTTTAGATGCTTTCCATATTTTCCCATAGTAATGAAATTGCATAGAACTCTTTGGTAAAAAATTAAATAAAGATCATTAAAATGTGAGATCATTAAAATGTGAGACAGTGCCAACTCAAGTCAATGCTTTAACAACTAAAATGTATAAGGTACTATGTTACAGAAGAATTTATTGTATTTCACTGATTTTGCCTATCACTCTTGGAACTTGCTTCTGATGAGCCTATTTCAGCCTGGTTTCTACAGGTGTGGAGCCCAAGAGCAGCTGGCATTTCCAACCCTATTAAGACCCACATCTCTGGACCTTATTACCTTAAACCAGACAATTATTTTTGCTTCAAACTTTTTATTATAGAAATTTTCAAACATACATAAAACTTGAGAGAATAGTACAAAAAAATCAAATATACACATTACCCACCTTCAACAATGATCAATAGACAGCTAATTTGGATTTATCTATATCCCCACTCACTTCCCCAACCCCAGAGGTTATTTTGAAGCAAATCTCAGGTACCATTTCATTTATGTAAACCAGTCAATTCCTGCCTGTGATCTCTTTCTGAGTTATGTTAATATTAATTATAATACTGACTCTCATTTACTGAGTGTCTACTATGAGGCAAATACTGTATATATATATATTATCGCTAATCCTCATTACAGTTCTTCAGATCAGTGAGGTAACTGAAACTCAGAGAATTTAAGTGACATGCTCAATCTTAATTATTTTCTTCTATTAAAGTTATTATTTATTGTAGCAGGTTATTAGACAATGCTAAGAACATTTCTGGTTTCCTCACGTCTTCTCAGGTAAACAGAAAGCTATCATTTATGTATGTTACTCTCTTAATTTTATAAAAATAAATGTATCACATTTTCTATCAGTCTAATGGGGAAAAAACAAACTAAAAACAACAACCACATCCTTACTACTTAGCCATGGACAACCAACCAATAACTCTAATGATATGCTATAATGTCAATATTAAAATCAGTTGTTTATAAATAAATGTAACTGCCTATACACAAATAATTTTTTTCTGAAGGGTTCACTTAAAAAACAAATTTTGCTATCTTCTGATTATTTTTAAAGTTTCATAATCCATAAAACATTTTTCAAAGGCACAGTGTTTAGATTGTGGAATAATTAGACTCAAGTGACATCTACATAAACAGATTGTTCAAAAATGTTTCTGTCTTCCACAAAGAATTCCTTTAGATTAAAGTATATGATGGTAGTGCTGAGAGAGGAGTAGTAATTATTATCCAGATAGAAATGTAATATTTACTAGAAAATAAGAAAAAGGTAATTAAACTCTTGGCCATAATCATTACTTGGATATTTATTGTTAGAAGATGTTTACAAAGTCGTAACATCTTTTTAGCCCTATTTACTTTAAAAATAAGACTTACTTCAAAATTCTTGAAACATTCTAATTTTTTACTTTAAAAGAAAAATGGGTATCTGGTTAGAACAACCAAGATTATGATAAAAGTAGCCAAAATGGCCTCCTCAGATGATAAAATTTACTCTCTTGGAAAATAATAATCGCTGGAAACAGGACAGAGATAGGAAACATTTCAACATTTACAACAGGAAAATTATTATGAGTAGACGTAATAATAGTTAAAAATTACAGACTAGGTCTTTTCTTCCAGTTTTTTATGGTAGTGAAAATTATGAGTGTGTTTAAGAATAGAGTGCTATTAATATTAACTATAAAAAGTAACTTTTTAAAGTACAGGTCTAACTACGGGAGATGCAGTTTTAAAATTAAATAAAACGATTAGGTTGATTTTGAAGTACCTGTAATTTAGGGAAAAAATTTTTGTGTTTGGGACATTTCATTAGTAATATCTGAATATCTGTATTTTTTTAATCAAGGAAAAATTTAAGTCAAATTAAGCAGCATCAAGTTCCTGATATTGATGTTGTAACACTACCAAGAGAATGCTGATATACTTGGCTTATGACACCAGTTCTGCAAGTGAACTCAAATTATTACAATTCGTCTTATCCTCAACATTATTTGATTTATAAAATTCTTCCAATGGATTCAAAGCATTTGATTCTGCTTAATATCACTGCCAATTAGACTGAAAGTGGCAAAAGAGAGAGGAGGATATAAAACTGCCAACTCAACTGTCACTTACGGAGTCATCTGTGGCAGAAGCTGGCCAGCCCTCCCATAACTGATGGCGAACAGGGATACTCGTAAGGTCATACACATTTCTCTTTACCTATAAAAAGAAAGAGAACAATTAAAATAGGGTTTCCACATGACTTATGTTAGTTGCCAGTCAATTTATGTGATACACTGTGTTTCCTCTGTTTTCGAGATTCAAAACAAGAATCTGAAACTAGAAAAACACAAATCATAAAAATTTTATTAAAAAATCTAAACCAAATTTAAACCAAGGTTAGATGAAATAATAGTTCAATTAACAACCCCCCACCCCACCCCGCTGATTATTTTTATGTTCCTGGATGGCTTCAAGTTTCTTTTCAGTCAAGAAACCTCAGGTACACAGTTCATGTAGGACAGACTACATGACCTAATTTATAATTATACATTTTTATAATCTATTTAATTTTAACAATGACTCAAGATATGCAATGGTTCAAATAAAAGATACGTTTCTAGTTTCTAAGTGGGACAGAAAAGAGTGTTAGTTTTTTTTCCAAGGGGGTGGAAGGAAAAACCTGAAGCTTCCTTCATTGTTTTATGTACGTTTCAAAGATATAACAACTTATTAATAAAGCAGCAAAGGGTTATTTCTTTGAAATCATTCCAAATTAGAAACTATTTCAATAGAATATTTATTAGCTGAGAGCCATCCATTAATATGCTATTTAGGCCCTTCCCCAAAAGAAAATATAGTAATGATAGTTTTTATTTTAAATACTGGTAAAGTTAAAAAACTGTTTCTCTCAAAAGTAACATTATACCTTTTAACTTTATTTGTTTGTTTGTTTATTTTTGGCCACACCCACGCGGCTGGTGGGATCTTAGTTCCCCAACCAGGAATCGAGCCTGCGCCCACAGCAATGAAAGTGCAGAGTCTTAACCACTGGACTGCCAGGGAATTCCCAATACCTTTTAACTTTAAAAGGAGAAGAGGTAAGTAATTTTTCAGAATAAAGTGTTGGAAGGTTAAACTCTTTTACCCAGTAATTATCATATCTTTCTTTAGATTTCTTTTCTAAATAGATTACAAAAATTCTCTTTCATTCCATATTTACAAATAAAATAAATTATCAAATCGTAAGAATGAAGAGATCATCCACCTTAGCTAACTCTTCAGGCTAGTTTTGGGGCTACCCTGCTGTAACAATGAAGCTAATTTTGAAATGCTGCACATAATAAGTTCTATAATGACTTCAATGTGGAAAACAAGCAGCATTCATTCATGTTTTTAAAATGCAGAAGTCTGAAGTATCATGTTGTCCAATTACAACATTTTGTATCACATTACTGTTTACTATACATAAACACATCTAAGTTACCCTTCCAGTGAAAGAGAGAAATATATTCACTGGGGAAAGAAAGAAACAAAACAAAACCCAGAACTTAATCTATTTTTATCTCTAATGTACACCTGTGAAAAAAGACTTGGTAAATGAGAGTTGAGGCACTTGGGGGCATGGCTTGATCCCCACTCAATTCAAACACACAGCTTTTTTTCACAGATTCTTAGCAATGGCCAGTCTACCATGCAGTATTTTGTTTATGGTCAGTCACATCAAGTTTGGAAATTTTCATTAGTCATTATCAACCCAACAATTTAGCCAAATGCAATCTAACCTCTTACCACTTCCACTAGCTAGGACTATTCTGTCACGCTTAAACATTGGTGCTCTGGGGGAAAGGTGTTCCATACACACAAAATATTATTATTATTGTTTATTAATAAAAAAGTGAGAGGACAGAAGGAGTATGAGGAAATTTTAGGCCTCAAGGCAAAAAATTCCTTTCTTAAAGTTAGTTTTAATTATGTTGTCTAGATAAGCCAAGGGTCAGCAGCTATTTTGAAGGTAGAGGGGAAGGCAGGACAAATATTTACATCTGTTGGAAAGGTGGCAAGGCTACTCTTGCATTGGAGAATATACACAAATACTATGAGTTGAGTATATAAACAAATAACTCTGGAGTGAGATTCTTTAAATTCCACCTTAATTCCAAAACACAACAACACGGTATTATGAAATAAACAGTATTTTTCTTCTTTCATTAACTCATCTGTAACTGCGCTGAATGAATAACATTCCTTTGCTATTCTAAGCCTGAAAAGCATGTTCTGGCTATAGTGTTATGTTGGTATAAAGCACAACGCCAGACTGATGTGCTGAACAAAAGTGATCAAAGTTAGAGTAATGTTAGCCATTGCACAAGTATTTGGCTTCATTGTTCTCCCCAGAATGACATCTGTTAAGCAACTTGTCATAGAATAAACTGGTTAATGCAGAAAGAACTTGGCTGAGAGGGTACAACGTAAACCATATTTGGCTAATGTTTGATTGTTCCGATGGAAAAGCTAAATTCACAGCGTTTCTGAAAGTAAGCCAAAAGAACCTCGTGTTAAACCATAATCACTACACAACGTAAGTGAAAACAAATTAGTTTTTCAAAAATAATTCCATGTTTATCAGTGCTGAAACCATAGGCAGATTTTACCATTATATGGAAGAAAGACAAGTGATAAGACAGCAAAAGTACATAATGAATGATGGTCTTATTAACAGAGATTAAAAAATTCTACTGTCTTTATTGATGGTCTTATTTAATTAAAATTTTAAGTGACAATTCTGTAGGGAAGAAAAAAAATCAGAAATGTACACAAAGCAAAAGTAAAAATGATTCTTTTAAAAAATTAGTATTCTAGGAAAGCTGAATGACAAAATATAGCTAAGTATAAAATGATGCAGATGAATTTATGGTCATCATGAATCAAATGAAGGACACAGTTTTCTCAGAGAGAGAAGGATGGAGGAACAGAGGAGGGAGAGAGGAAGGACCAAAGGGAAGGGGAGAAAAGGGGGGCCAGGCGAGGGGGAAGGTTGAGAGACTGAGTGATTTGAGAGATTTAAGAGCACTTGAGAGAGGCAGAAAGAACACACATACAGGCTAGGATGCTGTAGCTGGCATGCCCAGCTGCAATTACTGTGCTACTTCTGATGGAGTTTCATCTTTAGAGATTTGTGTTAAATTCCAGTTAAGGACAAGTGGCACTTCACAGGGTAACATTTCCTAAGGGCCTTTTTGTCTTACATACTTTCTTTGATCAGCACTGGCTCAAGATTATGCTGAATCTTCATAATCTTTTCAATTCTTGTTATGCATTAAGCTCTAAATCTATGAGATTTTAGGCTGCTAAACTATGCAAATGTTTCAATTAGTTCTGAAAAAATTTAATAAATGCTTTGATTACCAGCTGAACATTAAAATTATGTTACAAACTATACTGTATTTGGATTAAGTGTTCTGGATTGACAATAGATTTTCCAGAGCTTATTTTCCAGATTTTCTAAAAGGACAGTTTCACTTCTCCCCCATTGCTTCATATAAGACAGTTGTTTGTGACTAAGAAAAAAATATTTGAATCAGATTACCTTGAAATAGTACAGAATTAATGCAGTATTGATTTACTTCCTTATATTTGTTTTCATTGTTAATAAAACAATGTAAGCAATGATCTCCACTTCAAACTTCATATTTCCTCATTGTGGAAATTTCAATGATAAACACAGCACTGGGAAAAAGATCATTTTTTTATGACCTGCTCGAAATAAAATTATATAAGACATTCATCTCCCACAAAATTTTGAGTTCCATAAATTTTCAAACAGTTTTATATTTCAGTTAAATTTTATCAGAATTTCTTAGAAAAAAAATTCTTAGGAAGTTACTCTGCTAAAGGCCGAATTTTGAGGCTCAGATTAGCCTTAAATGAGCTGTCTGTAGCTATTCAAACTGAAAAATATAAAACTTGGTAGATAACTTTGTCAGCTATATTTTATAGCTAAATGTTGTGAGCTAAACGTTGGTCACACTATTGAAAAACATTTTAGGGAATTTTAAATTTCATTCAGGTATTATCCAAGTGAAAGCAGATTCTGATTATAGAAAAGCAACAAAGTTTGAGGTATTGTGGCATAATGAGAGGCAGAGAACTAGATTTCTAGTCCTAATTCTGCTGTTACTGTGGTGCAAGTTGGTGGAACCTGAGACCTAGTTTATTCAATATTCGAAAAGAATAAAACAAGATCAGTACTGATTTTCAAAGCTCTAAAATTCTATGATTTTTTGAAAATATTGGGGTTAATCCCAGATACAGGAAAAGAAGAGCTAAATATATTTAAGATAAACAAGTAAAGAGGGAAAGTTCAAAACCATAAGACTAGAAAATGAAAGAAAAATAGTAAAGAGTGACTAATACAACATATCAAAAAGGAAAATTGCCAATAATTTCAGTTAAGAAATACAGATATAATAAACATTTTATGTGAATTTTTTTTCTTGGATAAAGAAAAGTCTTAGTTTTTGCTTTTAATTACACTGAAAAGTCTAGATTTTTTTTTTTTTAAAGAAAAGACTAAATAATACTCTTCTCCCAGGAGATCTCATTTAAAAATAAAACCTGTCATACTGGTTTTCCAAATAACTATTTCATCAACCAAACAGGCTATGGTTTTGCCAGAATACTACAAGCTAAGTGATACAGTTGTAAAGTTCTATTAATTTATTTCAACATCTTTAAAATTTTGAAATCTGGCCTATGACTTTTCACATATCAAATATTTTAATATGGCAAAAAATAGAAACCAAATATTTAATTGCTTAGAACAGTTATCAATTTGTTAGCACTCTAGTTTCTAGATTTTCTGAATTAAGAATACTATGACAGATTACAACCCTTACGAAAAAGCACCCTGAAACTACATATATGTATCTCATTCTCTTATCAGTCTTAGAAGAAAGAGGCCTTTGGTCATATTAGAACCTGAGCTTATCCAAATTTTAGAGTATCAAAATTTGAACTCCAAGTAATTCACACCATCAAATGATGCTCCAGTTAAGAGTTTGCTAAATAATAACTGCACTGAATAAATAAGTATTTGTGTGTGTGTGTGCGTGTTAAACAAGACATACAGACTAGGCTTAGTTCCAGTTTCTTAGCAATCACTGGTGCTCTGAAAGGCTTATAATAGTTAAGAAACCAATCACTTCTGATACAGACTG